TCTGCTTAGTCGCACACCTCGCTACTCGCCACCCATGCCGTGTTGTTGTGCCCAGCTCGTTCAACTCGTAGCCACTGTCATTGCCGTGCCTCGACGCGCAACATGTTGCCCACCAGGCTCAAACTGCGTGGGTTTGCCTTTCCTGGGATGACCCGTGGGCACTCGATGCGCTGTGCCTAGGTGCACACCTCAATGCTCGCCACCCATGCAGCGTTGTTGTGCCTAGCTCGTTCAACTCGTAGGCACTCGCAGCGCCTTGCCTAGACGCACAACCCGTTGACCACCAGACGCATATTGCATGGGTGTGCCTTGCCTTAGCTGACCACTGGAGCCTTGATGCGTTGTACCGAGGCGCACTGCTTAGTGATAACCACCCATATCGCGTCGGTGTTCCCAGCTCATGCAACCTATAGGCAATTGTTGCGCTGTGCTTAGGCACACACCTTGGTGCACACCAGGCATACTATGTGGGTGTCCCTAGCTCGGCGACCGGTAGGCCCTCGCGATGCCGTGTATTTAGGTGCACACCTCGTTGCTCACCAGGCAAACTTCTTGGGTGTGCCTTGCTCGAGCAACCCGTAGGCCATCGAGGAGCCGTGTGCCTAGGCGCACAACATGGAGCCCTAAACCCTTGCTGTGTGGGTGTGCCTAGCTCGTTCATCCCACTGGCCCTCGAGGCCCCCTGCCATCAACCATGAGAGTGGTGGTGATGCACCCAAGGATGTAATGTTGTGCATTGAGGTGGTATGGGTCGTGATGGGGTCAAATATATGCTAGTTTGAACCCCAACAGGTACCATTCAGAAACTCCAGATGTTTTAAGCCATCCAACATACTTGGGAAGGATGGGTTCCGGGGTGGAACAAGGCTGGGGTACGTGATTTGGGGTAGCCGTGCTACCAACGCATGGGTGTGACCTGCTCTGGCTGACCCGTAGACCCCTGATGCGCTCTGCCTAGTCACACACCTCGCTGCTAGCCACCCATGCCGCGTTGTTGTGCCCAGCTCGTTCAACCCGTAAGCACTCACAGCGCCGTGCCTTGGCGCGCAACCCATTGCCCACCATGCTCATACTACGTGGGTTTTTCTTTCTTGGGATGACTCGTGGGCACTTGATGTGTTGTGCCTAGGCGCACACCTCAGTGCTCACCACCCATGCCTCGTTGATGTTCCCAGCTTGTGTGACCTGTAGGCAATTGCCTAGGCACACACCTTGGTGCACACCATTCATACTACGTGGGTGTCTCTGTCTCGGCGACCGGCAGACCCTCGTGATGCCGTGTACCTAGGTGCACACCTCGGTGCCCACCTGGCAAACTGCGTGGGTGTGCCTTGCTTGGGCAACCCGTAGGCCATCGCAGCGCTGTGTGCTTAGGCGCACACCATGGAGCCCCAAACCCATGCTGCGTGGGTGTGCCTAGGTCGTTTCCCACCAGCCCTTAAGGCCCCCTACCTTCAACCGTGTGTGTGGTGGTGATGCACCCAAGGATGCAACGTTGTTCATTGAGATGGTATGTGATGGGGTCAAATATGTGCTAGTTTGACCCCCAACAGGTGTCACTCAGGAAGTTCAGGTGTTTTAAGCCGTCAAACATACTTGGAAAGGATGGGCACCTGGGTGAGACGAGGCTGAGGTACATGATTTGGGTTAGACGTGCTGCCAATGCATGGGTGTGACCTGCTCTAGCTGACCCGTAGACCCTAGATGCACTTTGCGTAGTCTCACACCTCGGTGCTGGCCACCCATGCATCGTTGTTGTGCCAAGCTCATTCAACCCTTAGGCAGACACAGTGCCATGCCTAGGCGTGCAACCCGTAGCCCACCAGGCTCATGATGTGTGGGTTTGCCTTTCCTGGGATGGCCCGTGGGCACTTGAAGCGTTTTGCCTAGGCACACACATCAGTGCTCACCACCCATACCGCGTGGGTGTTTCCAGCTCATGCAACCTATAGGCAATTGTTGCACTGTGCCTAGGCCAGGCAGACTGCGTGGGTGTCCCTATCTCTGCGACTGGCAGGCGCTCTCGATGCCGTGTACCTAGGTGCACACCTTGGTGCCCATCATGTAAACTGCGTGTGTGCCTTGCTCGGGCAACCCTTAGGCCATCGCAGCGCCATGTACCTAGGCACACAACATGGAGTCCTCAACCCTTGCTGCGTGGGTGTGCCTAGCTCGTTCATCCCACCGGCCCTCGAGGTCCCATGCCTTCAACCATGCATGTGGTGATGATGCACCCAAGGATGCAACGTTGTGCATTGAGATTGTATGTGTCGTGATGGGGTCAAATATAGGTTAGTTTGACCCCCAACAGGTGTCACTCAGGAGGTCCAGATGTTTTAAGCCATCAAACATACTTGGGAAGGATGGGCACCTGGGTGGGACGAGGCTGATGTATGTGATTTGGGCTAGGCGTGCTGCCAATGCTTGGGTGTGACCTGCTCTGGCTGACCCGTAGACCCCTGATGCTCTGTGCCTAGTTGCACACCTCGTTGCTCGCCGCCCATGTCACGTTGTTATGCCCAGCTCGTTCAACCCGTAGCCACTCGCAGCGCCGTGCCTCGACACGCAACCCGTTGCCCACCAGGCTCATACTAAGTGGGTTTGCCTTTCCTGGGATGACCCGTGGGCACTCGATGCGCTGTGCCTAGGTGCACACCTCAATGCTCGGCACCCATACCGCGTGGGTGTTCCCACCTCATGCAACCTGTAGGCACTTACGGCGTTGTGCCTAGGCACACACGTTGGTGCCTACCTGGCGTACTTTGTAGAAGTGCTTAGCTTGGCTATCGATAGGTGCTGGTGACACCGTGAGCTTAGGAACACACCTCGGTGCCCACCAGCCATACAACATCGGTGTGCCTTGCCCCGAGGACCCTCCATGCACTGTGCCTAGTCGCACACCTCCGTGCTCAGCACCCATATCGCGTGGATGTTCCCAGGCCGTGCAACCTGCATGCACCTGTAGCACTGTGCCAAGGCACACACCTTGGTGTCCATTGTGCCTTGATGCACACCTCGTTGCCTCCTTCTCATGACGTGTGTGTAATGCCCTAGGCCCTCGCGACACCGTACGTAGACACGTACCTCGATGCCAACCATCCACGCCACACAGCGCACTATGGTGTGCTCCAGGCCGCCCCATCCCACCTCACCAGCTATTCCGATGGACTAGGACGGGCCCACACCGTCTTATGGTCCAGGATGGGCAGTGCAGGAGCTTGAGGTCCAATGCTCCAAGGTGAGTTTGTGCTCGGAAAGCTGATTTGGACACATGTCCTTGTGCACTGGGCATGGTGGTGTGGTGGGATGGGTTGCCGTTTAGGAAAAAAAGTGTATGCTAGATTCAATGGAATAGCAACCACTCTTGAATTTTTGATGTTTTAAGCTATCAAACATAGTTGGGGAGAGTCGGATCTGGGTAAACGCATGCGTCTCCTGCCTCCCCTTGGACACATGCAAACACTTGTAGGGAATGAATGTCGACCTCCATGTGGATCCGATCTACAAGGCAGCAAGATGACGATGTGCTTCCGGGTGCGGCTAGGGAAGCTATCTCGACTGCTGTACATCTGCGTCTAAGACGTGATATACCGGCCAAAGCAGCCAGAACAAGTCTTGCTTCCCTCCCTGACAAGATCCGCTTTGGATGACGATGGCGTGGCAGTCCTGAGGTTGAGCCGTTGCTTTCGTGGTGCAATATGGCACCATGTGCATTGTCCCGATCGAAGAGTTTGGGCAGTGAACGACGGTTTCCCTCGACACCGATCCTAGTGCTGTATGTTGGGCGAGGAGGTGGGGATGTCTTGACACTATGTCGTCGTGTCTCTAAGACGTGATATGGCACCAACAATTGCAGCCAGATGAAGTCCTTCTTCCTTTCTTAACATGACTCCCCTCTGGATGATGGCGGGTTGGCAAGCCTGAGGCTGCGCCATTGCGTCCCTAGCGCAATATGGCATGTGCCGATCAACGAGCTTTAGCAGTGGATGGCGGTCGTCTAGCCACCGGACATGATTCAGGTCTAGGTGATGGTGGTTGGGATGTCTGGACGCTGCGCCGTTGCGTCACAAACGTGATATGGCCCAACCATGGTAGCAATATGATGTCTTGCTTCCCTCCTTGACATGGCCCTCTTTGGATGATGGACGATGGTGGGGTTGCAGGCCTGAGGCTGCGTCGTTGCGTCCCTTACGCAATATAGCATGTCCCGCTAGATGAGCTTCCGTGCTGTTTTAGTTCCTTGCCTCTTGTATCTTTCAGGTTTTGTAATGCCGTTCTAGTCGTGGTTTCTCGCACATACCGACTTCTTCCAGTGCTGGCCTTCATTCAAGTGTTGCCCAGCTCTGGTGAGTCATGGACGTTTTACGAATCTTGCCGCATGATTTTTTGGCCTCTGCCCGTGAGATGAATATCGCCCAGTGCAAGCAAATGCACCTGTGGGAGCAACGGTGTATGGTCTTTGTTTTGGGATGTTCTTCTCGTCTCCCCTACTATGGTGGTAGTTGTTGTGCGTGTGCATTCGATACCCATTTGAGATGGAAGTGTATTTTGTTCAGCTGGCGTTTGGATTGTTGCAGTGGACCATTGGCCCCACGGTCGCTCTCCTCGTGGGCTTGTTCTCTTACGGCACCCTTGGTACGGTTCCACTTTTCGATTCCCCAGTTTGGTGCCATTTGAGCTCTCCCTATGTCTCTTGGTATTGGAGGTTGCTTACTTGTGTGGCCTTGAGTTGGCTCACCGCATGGACGTCCACCACTCGCCTCATTTGGCAGCGAAATGCAGGGCTCCATTCGAGCCCCTACTTTAGTTCCCGTGTGGTTCCCCCATGTCGTTTTGGGATGCTACCTGGTTGATCCTGCCATTAGTCATATGCTTGTCTCAAAGATTAAGCCGTGCATGTGTAAGTATGAACTAATTCAGACTGTGAAACAGTGAATGGCTCATTAAATCAGTTATAGTTTATTTGATGGTACCTACTGCTCGGATAACCGTAGTAATTCTAGAGCTAATACGTGTAAGAAATCCCCACCTCTGGAAGGGATGCATTTATTAGATAAAAGGCCAACGCGGGCTTTGCCCGATGCTTTGGTGAATCATGATAACGTGATGGATCGCACGACCATTGTGCTGGCGATGCATCATTCAAATTTTTGCCCTATCAACTTTCGATGGTAGGATCCATGACGGAGAATTAGGGTTCGATTTCGGAGAGGGAGCCTGAGAGACGGCTACCAGATCCAAGGAAGGCAGTAGGCGCAGAAATTACCCAATTCTGACACGGGGAGGTAGTGACAATAAATAGCAATATCAGGCTCCAAGAGTCGGGTAATTGAAATGAGTACAATATAAACAACTTAATGAGGATCCATTGGAGGGCAAGTCTGGTGCCAGCAGCCGTGGTAATTCCAGCTCCAATAGCGTATATTTAAGTTGTTGCAGTTAAAAAGTTCGTAGTTGGAACTTGGGCTGGGCCGACCGATCCGCCTTCATGGTGTGCTTCGGCCGTCCCGTCTTCACCCGGAGATGTGTTCTTGGCCTTAATTGGCCGGGTCGTGCCTCCAGCACCATTACTTTGAAGAAATTAGAGTGCTCAAAGCAAGCCTACACTCCGAATACATTAGCATGGGATAACAACACAAGAGTTTGGTCCTATTGTGTTGGCCTTCGAGATCGGAGTAATGATTAAGAGGGATAGTTGGGGGCATTCTTATTTCATAGTCAGAGGTGAAATTCTTGGATTTATGAAAGACGAACCACTGCGAAAGCATTTGTCAAGGATGTTTTCATTAATCAAGAACGAAAGTTGGGGGCTCGAAGACGATCAGATACCGTCCTAGTCTCGACCATAAACGATGCCGACCAAGGATCGGCGGATGTTGCTCTTAGGACTCCGTCAGCACCTTATGAGAAATCAAAGTCTTTCGGTTCTAGGGGGAGTATGGTCGCAAGGCTGAAACTTAAAGGAATTGACAGAAGGGAACCACCAGGAGTGGAGCCTGCAACATAATTTGACTCAACACGGGGAAACTTACCAATTCCAGACATAGTAAGGATTGACAGACTGAGAGCTCTTTCTTGATTCTATGGGTGGTGGTGTATGGCCGCTCTTCATTGGTGGGGCGATTTGTCTAGTTAATTCCATTAACGAACGAGACCTCAGCCTGCTAACTAGCTACGTGGAGGTATCCTCCACGGCCAGCTTCTTAGAGGGACTATGGGTGTTTAGGCCATGGAAGTTTGAGGCAATAACAGGTCTGTGATGCCCTTAGATGTTCTGGGACGCACTAGTGCTACACTGATGTATTCAACGAGTATATAGCCTTGACCGACAGTCCCGGGTAATCTGTTGAAATTTCATCGTGATGGGGATAGATCATTGCAATTGTTGGTCTTCAACGAGGAATTCGTAGTAAGAGAGAGTCATCAGCTCGGGTTGACTACGTCCCTGCCCTTTGTACACACCACCCGTCGCTCCTACCGATTGAATGGTCCGGTGAAGTGTTCGGATCGCCGGTGGTGACATCACGAGAAGTCCACTGAACCTTATCATTTAGAGGAAGGAGAAGTCGTAACAAGGTTTCCATAGGTGAACCTGTGGAAGGATCAGTGAAGGATGCCCTAGCAGACAGACTGGCGAACATGTGGAGAGAATGCGGTGGTGGAGAGCCTCGCGTGGCCCCCACCTTTGAGGTCCACTTGAGGCTCATCCCACCAAAACGAAAAACAATACCCCGGCGCGTCAAGTGTTAAGGAAAAGGATCACGGTGAAAATGTGGTGGGGGGTGCACCACGTAGGGGGATATCTTGGCTCGCCATGATGAAGAACGTAACAAAATGCCATACTTGGTGTGAATTGCAAAATCCAGTGAATCATCGAGTCTTTGAAAGTAAGTTGCGCCCGAGGCTGTAGGCTGAGGGCACACCTGCCTGGGCGTCATGCCAAACGTTGCCCCCTCTTCACCCCTGCACGGACCAGTGCAAGGGCTCGGGGGTAAGATGGCCACCCGTTTCCCTCCCCTTGCATTGATGGTACGGTAGGTACAAAACTAGGCCCATAGCTTACAGGTGACGCGACGATCGGTGGCCTCCACAGTGTGTCGCTGTCGCACCACAGCATAAGTTGGCCACCAGCAAACCCACGGACCTGCGTTCCGTGCAAAGATTCCACATTGCAACCCCAGATCAGGCAGGGCCACCCGCTGAGTTTAAGCATATCAATAAGAGGTGGAAAAGAAGCTTACCTGGATTCCCCTAGTAACGGCTAGGGAACCAGGAACTGCCCAGCATGGGAATCGGGTGGCCCCGCTGCTCGAATTGTAGCCTATAGAAGCGTCCTCAGCGACGGACTTGGCACAAGTCCCCTAAAAGGGGGAGCTGGAGAGGGTGAGAGCCTCGTCGTCCTTGGACCCTGTCACACCACGAGGCGCTGTCGGTGAGTCGGGCTGTTTGGGAATGCAGCTCTAATTGGGCAGAAATTCTGTCCAAGTCGAAATACAGATG